GTGCAATTGAAAATAGGTACGTAGAATAAAGAGATCTCGAACAATTGTTGTCAAACGAGGGCTTAATTCCTTATGAAGAAGAAACAGATTCAGGGCATCACAACAAAAGGCGGAGTTCTGCTTCAAAAATCACTATGAAGAAGAAAGAGATCAAGGAGAATCAAGGGCCTACAATGGGCGAGAAACGAGTCAATCTGAAGAATCATCAATTAGTAATCAAGAAAAATAGTCAGATAATTCACAGACTTAAACAATCGCTCTCGTCAATAAATACACACATTTAGTCCAATTCCCCCAAAGGTTGCAGAATAATAAATTGCATAAACAATTCAAGAAGTTCTTGCATGCTCTCAAACAACTTTACATTAACATTCATTTTATTGATGTCATTCTACAAATTTCAAATTGTGCTAAGTTATTAAAGGAGATGTTGATCAAGAAGAGAAATCTGGCAGAAGATGAAACAATAGCATTAACTTAAGAGTGCAATGCAATCATAAAGCAGATGCTTCCTCCTAAACTAAAAGATCTAGGGAGTTTCATTATCCATAGAAAATTCACATAACTTAAGTGCTTTAATTGATCTTTAGGAAAGTATTAATCTGATACCACAATCTATCTACAAGAAATTGGGATTGGATGACCCAAAAGCGATATCAATAATCCTACAGCTAGCTGACAAGGCATTCAAGCATCCTTATGCAGTGGTAGAGGATATGCTTATCAATGTTTGAGATAATTTATTTCTTGCTGATTTCATCATCCTTGATATAGTTATTCAACACATGCCATTAATTTTGAGGAGACCATTCTTAGTAACTTCACGAGCATTAATGAACTTTGAGAAAGGTGAATTATTCTGAAGGATAGAAGAAAAACAACAATGCTTCACAATGAATGCTCCACTTAAACAACCACTTGACATTGAAGTCTGTCAAAAGATCGGCCATTTGGAAAGCAACAAGAATGGGAAGGAAGAAGTTGGAATTGTTGGGTAAGACAACAATGAAAATCTTGTAATCTAGAGGCTTAAAGATGAATTGAATAACTACCAGTGTAGCCAATGCAAGGCTGAAAACTCTCTTTTCAAATTACCAAGAATAGCCAAAACATCAAAATCAAGCTAATAACTATAAATAAGCGCTTATTGAGGCAACCTAATTTTGTTCCCTTTCATTTATTTTACTTTTTAGATATATGATTAGTAATTTTTATTGTTTTTAGTAGTATATGGTATCTTTATCCCCATATTTTCATTTAGGGTGTGTTTAGGCTTATTATAAAATGTTTCATGTTATCATTGATTTTTTATTTATTTTTATGGAACATGACACTTGAACGCATTGGACAAGGAAATATACATAACTAGTGATCCAGCACTTTTATGTTAGTCTATCCACCTCCTACAGATTTATACCAAGGGAGTCTTTATCCTTAACTTTTTAAATTACTTGTTATATTTTTAGACATTGAGAGAAATGTCTTTTATAAGTTTAGAGGTAGAAAAATATCAAATTCTTATCTATTTTTATTGTTTTATATGCTTATTCGAGTGCAAAAAAAACAAAAAACAAAAAAAACAAAATTTGTGGGTTAGATAAATTTGTTCATTATGATGAGTATATTTGGAACCATGTATTAGATTATAAATTGTGAAATGTTGCATGTTAGGATTGATTTATGTTTATTCATGTAAAACTTGATATTTTTGGATCCAAGATTTATGTTTTGCTTCACGAAGGAATAATTTGATTCAAAATTTGAATACGTTGAAAAAAGAAATACAATGGACCTTATATGTTAAATTCAAATAACCACTGAGTTATGCGTCCTTAAATCAAATCTAGACCTTAGATGCTAAATCCAAATTTGAATCGCTTTCTAAATTTATTATGTTTGACATGAATTTTCACACAAAACGTCAATTTTACATTGGATAAATAGAAATCAATTCTAGCATTGTGATTTTGTAGTACTTCATAGTATTAATACATATATTCTAATCCTGAGACCAAAGCAAATTATCTAGGATATAATTTTGTTTCAGGACAAAATCAAATATTCAAATTCGAAGGTATTTGATAAGTGTATTTTGTACACTTATATAGACCATTAATTGGAGTATTTGTTAGTTATTTGGATAATTTATAGCTTAATTATGTATTAATTATATTTGTTAGGTTGAACTCAATGCAAATTGGTGAAATTTGAAAAAATGAAAGAAAACGGGCAAAAATGAAGGAAATCTAAAGTTTGGGTATCAAAGTGTAAACGTTCAATAGTTGATTCCGACCATAAAATGATGCTTGAAGATTACATATGATCAATTGGATGCAATAGGAGGTCAAATGAGTGGAATATAGTTGAAGTATTTTAACAAATCAATTTCCAGCCAAAAAAGTTATGCTCCAGATTTTTAGTTTGAACTTGAGACTCATTTTTCGAATAGCAAACATTCAAATTGGAAAAATTGTACTTCCACCACAATCGAATATTGAAAGAGAATGGTTTGATTAAAATAATGAAAGTTGCTCAGGGACAAACTACACAAACCTACAGCGCATGTAGGCCATTATTGGCTTGCGCCCGATACTGAAATTTTAATGACCCGAGAACCATTTGGATAAATGGTGCACACGCGATGATTATGCTAGTGTGCACGAGAGGACCATTTTCGTAAATGAATCAGCAGTTTTCTTTCATGGTTCAAACACTTTTTGGAACTCAAATCAAACACGATTTTGACCTATTTTCTAGAGAGAAGATCAAGCCCTAGCAAGAATTGAAGGCCAATTGCATCAAGAAATTGAAAAATTCAACTTTGGACACGAAGATCAACATCTTTTATATTCGTTCATTATCCGCATGATATTTTTCATTCTTCTCCTTGTGATTTATTTAAAACTACGCTAGGCTATACCCATTTTTTTGTATTTGATGAGATAGAAGCTATTATTTATTTATTTTAATTCAAAACTAGTAGTTTAGTTTAATTCTTACATTTCTTGATTAATTTTGCTTACCAATTGCATTTTTTAATTGATTAGCCACCAATTAGGTAATTAATTGCTTGTTACAGTGTTAAAAGACTCACAATAAATTTAAAACGCAGCAAACTAACTACTAACATATGTGCAATATATGTTAGGAATAATATTTCTCACTTGTACAATCATATAAATAATTTAAATTTTAACGCATTCTAACTATTTGAATTCGGGTCGTAGTTAGGATACAATTAATTTGTCTTGAAAAAGAAAGTTAAAAATATTAGCTTTATTGATTGTCAATAACGCAAAAACTGAACTACGTTACAAATTAAGAATTAAATAGATAGCAATAGGAGTTTTTGAAATCCAATACAATCATCCATAATTTGATAAAAGTCAAACTTTTATTGCTTTCTTAGACTAATTTAGCAAAAATAAAATTAGAATCTTTCTTTTGTTTTACATAATTCAAATTCCATACATAACTAGTAAACTTGAATTAAAATTTATTCTCTGCAGGATAATACTTTTAACTCACAAAATCTATTATTAGTCAACGATCTCGTACACTTGCAGGTTTTGTACGACCAAAAATCATGAGCAAAGTGATGTCTTCTTCCTTGAAATCCCATAGAATTTACAGCAATATTACATGAAAACATTGCAGAAAAAGTGTTTAGAAGAAAACCATGGATTTCAGGCTCTATTAATACTAATAAATATTACTTGAGATACACACATACAAGCAAAAGAAAAGAGAAAGAATTCGTATAAAGATAATAAAACGTTTTCAAAAGAAGAGCCGAAATGGCTTCCAGCAGTAGCAGTGCACCACAATATGTCACAAACGGAAGTGTTTATCCTAAAGAAAAGAAGCATGTTTCAACAATGGTGGGAGAGAAAATTGTTGAGGAAGGGAAGAAAATGGCTGAGGCAAGGAATAAAGTTGTAAAATCGACAGTCAGTGCTATCAAAAAGCACAACAACATGGGAAAGATGAGTCCTGATATCTAGATTTCTTAATGTACGGATTGCTTAATTCAACAACTATAATTTTCTTATTGTACTTGTTTGTGTAATATAATAATTTGAATAATATTATGTGCAATCGCTCACTATTTAAGTCGTCATACATATCATACATGTGGCAGTTAGTTATTTGATACATTAACCGTCACGCGTATGCCACATGACTACGACAATGAGAAACTGCAAATAATATTACTCTAATAATTTTTATAGATTACAAGTAACAAAGGAATAACAGTGTAAGTGATAATGATATGATGTGTGTTTATGTAACATTAATAGAAAGTGACACTATGTTTACTTTATACAATTGTATTCGTTTGTATCACAAATACCTTTAGTATTACTATGGTTACTCTATGTAGTAGATTTACATTGTCTTTGAGTTTGTATTTTTCTGTTTTTATGTTTCTTGAATATTAAGGTACGTCATTTTATTGCCTCAAACGACAAATCGAGATTCTAACCTAAATTGTTACTACCCTTTTGTTATGAAGAGTTTATTTGGCCCAGTTCACGTACACATTGTTTGACGCAAAATTTAATTCTTCTACGAATATAAATTTCTTGGAAGTCCCCAATTTATCTTTTAAGAGTTCAAGAAAAGTGCAAGAAAAATCAACTTTTAAACCAACAAATTTATAAAATATTATGTTCCATAGATATAGCCCTCGATTTTTCTTGTAAGTGCCCAATTTATCCTTTAAGAGTTCAAGAAAAGTGCAAGAAAAATCAACTTTTAAACCAACAAATTTATAAAATATTCTGTTCCATAGATATAGCCCTCAATTTTTCTCCTTCAGAGGACTCACATCTGCTAGGGAAAGTAATACTCGATAAGATAAACTGAATGGTACATAACATATTGAAGAAGTAAAAGAAACTAGTCCAGCACAACACGATGCTACATACCAAACATTCCTCATGGGCCAAGACGAATATTGAAAAAGAAGAGAGAAGAAAGAATAAAGAAGCAAAGAGTTACAATACTTGCTTTCAAAAAAAACAAGATTCCTAATTGAATATCTTGAAATGTTTCCAAATATCCCAACATTGGGGGGAATAAATGTTTCTCTTGGCCTAATTTTCAAGGGGGGAACTACTCCAAACTTCAATACTGTAATCAAATTTTACAACATACTAAACATATCTCTTCATAAAACCTTCCTAACATGAAGGGGGGGAAATTGTATCTACTGTAAAAGAGTACAAGCCTAAAACAATTCAACAACTGTTATCATACAAATATACCAGACAGAATGTGCTGGGATTCTTCAGTCGAGCGAAAGCAGATATCATTCCCACCACCAAAGTCAGTTCTGTCTATCAATCCGTAAAAATATCAGTCAACTATATGATGAAGCAACATATATTGGTCTACACTAAAACTACAGATACAAGGAACTCATGTCTCAAACAAAAGTCAAGGTTAGGCTCTTCATCTTCAAAAAGGTAGCTACTTCATTTAACTACTCAACCCCATTGCCGCCCGATTCTCCTCATAGATCAGAGTTTTGGCTGCGTTTAAAAGCATGTCAACACCGCCAGCTTTATCCAAACCCTCCTCGCCCTTTATCGTTCCATCCGAAGCTCTCATTTTAGATTTGTTTTGTGTATTCTCGTACATCCATTTCGCCCTCTGCACACGCTGGAGATCAGAATCACATTTTTTGCAAAACCATTTCCCTTTGGGAATGCGAGTGCAAGGAGGCTGCATGCAATAGATGTGATATGCATGATCACAGCCATCACATAGGACAATCTTATCATCATCTTGATCTCTGAGGCAAGCTCTACACAGACAAGAAGGGCAATACCAGCATGGACCATAAGATTTCAACTGCTTACCAGTCAAGCATCTCACATGGAAAAACTTTTGAGAACAGAAGGAATGGCCACATATTCTATAATCTTCATCATTTCTAACCTGGGCTCCACAAACCTTGCAGTTTTGAAACCTTTCACCCCTTTCCACCAGCTGAAGTTCGTCACCGACTATCTCATTTGAACTATCCTCCAGTTCTTGAGGTGCTTCGTCATCCACAAGGTCATCTTCTCCATCAGCATCAATCGGTGATCTGGAAGCATTCAGTCTCTCGCAAGCTATGCAGTCATCGTGTGGCGATTCAATCCCCTTTGCCGTACAGTTGGGACAATACCAACTTCTGAGTGGAATTTCTTTAACAGCAGGCTCAATACAGGAGATGTGATACATTTCCTCACACGAATCACATACTAGACTATTTTTTCCATCCGACTTCTCTCCACAACATCTGCATGTGCCGACTTCAAAGGTAGGACACGCCTCTGTTTGCTCCTCTTTAGCATGCATGTCAGATTCTTGTGTAAGAAACTGCCAGTGTCACAAAATTACAAATGTCATATCATCCTTCCAAAACTACTGAAGATATCCAAAAGAGCACAAACTGATTATCTGAATTATCTTTACCACTGGACATTAGCTTTACTCATTAACACAACAATTCAAGATTGTTCACAATCCCGAAGACCTTTTAATTTAGTGTGTTGAAAGAGTGTGCAGGATCGATGGTAACTGTGTTTTAACAAATAGTTATGCAATCATTAATAATTTTTCTTTCCTTCATTATCTGATTATATATATCTCAGTACAGGTTAATCAGGATAAACATTTAAATATGGCATAGCTAAGGACAAAAACAAACCATAAGATTCAAAACATATCTACACACTTTAAAAACCCAGCTGCCTACCAGAGACATAATGGAAGCCAAAAGTGATCAATATTCGTATTATTCATCTAGATCTTGGAAATTGATTATTATTAGAATGGGTAAAGGCAGAATTTTTGTCAAAATACTGTATTACAATAGCTTCTCCCTGTGCATTTATTATTTTGTATAATATCAACATAAATCGTCAGATGCATCCATGAATGACATGTGTGCAACTTCCAGTCTTCCTGCATTTTCTTTTCCACAATAAACAAATAAGGCCACAACATATTTAGCCCTATTTGACAATCATTATTTCAAAACTCTTTAATTCTCACTCATTTTCAACCACACGTGTACACAATAAAATATTTTGCACATAAACCCAAAATTCTTCCCTTCTTTTTAACAACACATTCTCCAAGAAATTACTATTCAAAACTCCATTTTCTCAAAATAATGGCCGTCAAACAGGGGCTTATTGGTCCATATATACTTGATTTGATAATTAAGAATCTTAACCCATCCCATTCAATACCTTCTCACCGCACCTCCCACCCCCAACAAAAAAGAAAATAAAAACGAACACAGAGAATCTAAAAAGCATGAGAAGGGAAATAAAGAGGAAAATATTACCTCATGCCTGCAATCCTCAGGAATGTCGTGTACAGAACTGCCTACCTGAGGATAACCAAAAAATTGTAAGCCAAATAAGAACAGTAAGGCATAACAATTAATCTACTTGTACAAAGTAGGTAGACAAAATTTGTTGACAAAATAGGTGTTGGCAAGATCTAGGCAGTTGATTTGTTTGATTTCAAAATCTGATTTTGAAATGAGTGATATAGATCTGCCAACTCATGTTTTGTCAACCTCCTTTGTACACATAGCATCACTCAAGGCATAATGGCAGAAACCAAATCAATCAGAGCACGCCAGAGATAAAAATCAACTATCTGCAAGTCAACTAGTCTACCTGTGTACGGAAAGAAGTATTTGATTTATCTGAAAGGCACTTTGCAAGAGTTATCATATCAGTGCCAACCTTTTGGAGCTTCTTCCACACCTACAAAAGAATGTTAGCACTTGAGACTGCAACGAGCATATAGAAATATAAAGCAACATCTTTATTAACTAGATTATACGAGATACATGCCCGATAGCAACTCAAAAACTACCCATATACAGATCAGCTGTGAAAGAAATTTAAAAAATTGAGAAGCAAGAAGCTCTAAATTGTAATATACTTAACCTTTGACCTAGCCCAAAATAACATGATAAGAAAAGAAACCTTAGATTTTACCCTCCTATAAAACATTACCTTCAGTTTTCCTTATAAGAAACGTGTCTCTATTTGAGTAGGCAATCTGCATCTGCATCCACATGGTTTATCTAAGAGTCTTTTTCCTAATTTACACCGCCTAAGTAGCCTTAAGTTTCCACAAAATACTGGATACTCCCTTGTCCCCACAATGAATCATGTTCAGATGTGTGTGCCTAAAGAAATTGAAATACAATGTCTAGAGGTGCACCTTTACGTCAATAACAATACTCTCAACTTGACTAGACTCACCAAAGCCTTAACCTACACTTATTTGGAATGGACTAAATGGAACCTTCTGCTTGATCTAGGGCAATCTTCAAAGTTACAGCATGGAGGACAATCCTTTTTATTACCATGTTTCATTAGGTCAGCCTCTTCCTCTAAGTCTATAAACAATACAAGCTTTAGAGCAATCAGTAACCTTCGAAAGTAAATCATTTCAAACACTTCACTAACAAATTAAATATTCTGGAACAGTCCATTGCCACATACATGCACAAGGAGAGCAAAATAGACCCCTTTACAAAGATTGCCGTTACCCATAGCAAATTATATATATCAGTTGTTCCCCAGCCTTAAAGATCCCTGTATGGGCAAAACGAAACAAAAATGCCTATGCGTCTATGAACACATATGCGGTGCCAATCAAGAATACTTGAAGGTAGTAACAATTAGGACGTTATAGGGAAGTGCGAAACATACCTGTTGAATGTCAGAATAGAAGAGAACTGGTGAGCTTTCATATGCGCCGTCCTTCATCCTAGAATTTATTAGACTCAAATCTAATAATTTTTCAGCCTTCAATCCTTGAAAATTTTCAAGCAGTAAATTGCATAGTTGGGCAAATTTTTCTGACATAATGATATCGGAAAACATGCTCCAACTGAGCTCTGTGCCAGTGCGATGATTTGATTCGTTAACTGATCCACTGGATGTTTTACCTACACTGCCAGGAGCTGCACTCTGGATATCATCACGTACAAACCGACTTGGCAAGGAGCATTTGCTCCCATTTTCAGAAGGAATAGAGTCCTGTGGACCAAACTGTAAAATTTATTATATCATCTTTTAGATACAAAATAGAAATATAACATATAAAAACAGAATAAGAGTGGTTCACTGATTCTCATGCACCAAATGCCAAATGGAACCCCACAATTCTGATAGCATTGAGTACCTTAAGAGTAGATAAGCTACCACTTCCCGGATGAAACAAAAGAGCATTTTGGATACATTTCTTCAAACCGCCTTCACTCTCTAATGACTGACATATTTGCTCCAGAACATAATTTCTCTGTTGCTTGAGTGAGCAATCATAGGAATTCATAAGAGCATCTGGTACTTTCTGAGAATCACTAACTTGCATATTAATATTCGTGAACGGAACTGAATCCAATAATGGGTTCATTGACTGCAATGATCAAGTCAAGACATCTTAGAGAAGCACAGAGAAGGGATACATGAAATTGACAAATGCCAACAATTAAGTGACTTGTACAGATATCACTAAAGGAACTTTGACATCATCAAGCCCACACACTCACATGTTCCAGAATATAAAGTAGCTTTAAGGAATATAATGACCACCAAAGATAATCACAAGAATTAAAGATGCAGTGACTGAAGCATTTTCTGACCATTGAACTGAATGATACTACGATATACTAAATAACCAAGATGTATTTTTTCCTTCAGCTTTTCTCATATCAGAACTCAAATTGAAGATATATGCTAGCATACATTTTGGTACCAAAATGGAAGCAATATCATAGAATATCCTAAATAAAGGGAGAAAGAAAAGAAAGAAAATAGATGGACAGGTCAGCATGAACAAAATCGGCACGGACTATTTCATGTTGTTTCCCCATTGAAGATTCAAATATTAATTCATGTCAAGAATCACCAAGAGAGCAATGTGATTACAGTTATAATCAAAATGTATATGATGAATTATATGTTTATGACCAGCAGCAATCAATATAAATGAAATGGAAAAGGAATCACGAAAGTATAATATGAGATTGGCCAGCTTAACATTCAAAAGCCATCAATTTTCTCTGTTTTCAATTCTGCAATTAAATGCACTAAATTCAAGAAATGGCAAGAAATAATAAAGAGGTTCATCACACCGTGCAAGCATCACGAGATATTGTAAGTACTATTAGAGTATTTAACGCTAATTAGAGGTTTCCATGTATAGAATTGGTAATTACCATAGAATTGGGGATTTTTTATCTTGTATCCTTTCCTTAATTTCTTTGTAATGTATCCTTTCCTTAATTTCTTTGTAATATTCTATATATATTGAAGCAATATATACCGAAAATTTGTCAAGCAAAATTCTTGTCATGGTATCAGAGCCATAACCTATCTCTCTCGTGCGTGTGGTCGAGGTGTGGGCTTTTCGGCGATCGATTGATTGTTCATAGTTGACGCCACTTGGTTTTCTCACAATCGGCGTCTTCGGTGTGCTCCGATGGTCTCAGTTCGAGGCTCTTCTTGTTCTTCGATTTGGTTTACTTCTAGACTCTGCGCAATTTTTAGGTTGTTCCGGTGCATCTGCGAGGTTGGTCGAAGATCCTCCTTCTTCGGTCGTCCGCGTTGTAGTTCCATCGCGTCTCTTTTGTTGGTGCATCGTTGTCTCTTCTTGGTTGGACTTGGCTTTGGTTTGTCTTTGGGCCACTGGTTTGGGCTGGTATTGATTTAATTGGAAGCTATTTTATATTGTTTTTGGGCTACTATTAATTGAAGAGTACTGGGCTATTATTTTGATTAATTAATTATTGGCTTGAGTTCTTTGGATTGGACAAAACTTATTCTGTTAAATTGTAATTATTGATTGGATCATACACAATTCACTCATGTCAACTGAAAAGGATGAATCTGTTTGCATTTGTTTTACTAGAAAGAATTATTCTTCATGGGCATTTCATTTTCAATTATTGATCGAGAGCAAAGGTGATTTGTGGGGACACATTGATGGGAGTCTTCCACCTCCTGATCAAGAGATGGAGAATGAGAAGTACCTTGCCTGGAAAACCAAAGATTCTAGGACTATGGCCTAGATTATTGGATCAGTTGATGCTCAGATTGTTCTTAATCTCAGGCCTTACAAGTCTGCTCGTGCTATGTAGGAATTTTTGAATAAAGTCTACACTCAAAGCAACAATACTCGACTTCAATTAGAATTTGAATTGGCAATTTTTTCTCAACATTCTTGATCTGTTGAAGAGTTTTATTCCGGTTTCTCCAATCTGTGGGCTGAGTACACAGATATCATATATGCTTCGGTTTCACCTGATAGTTTGGAGGCAATACAAGCTGTGCATGAAGTTACCAAGAGGAATCAATTTCTCATGAAGTTACGAGCCGATTCGATCCAGTCTTATGAATCATGAATCTTTTCCAACTTTGGATGGATGTTTGGGTAAGTTATTAAGGGAAGAGCAGCGACTTATCACTCGTGCTTCTTTGGAGCAACAACAGAATCAAGTAGAACCAATCCCTTTTGCATATGCTGCTCAATGGAAATACTGATCTCGGGATGTGTCTAGTGCGCAGTGTTACAGTTGTAAGGGATTTGGTCACATGGCTCTTCAGTGTCCTAAGAAGGTATGCAATTATTGCAAGAAGACTGAACATGTGATTAAGGAGTGTCCTATTCGCCCTCCACGTAAGCTTGGAGTAAGTCATATTGCCGCTGCCACTTTAGCTTCTAGTTCTACTGCTACCACTCAAGTTTCAGCCTCTCCTGGTCCTACTCAGAACTCCGTCACTCCAGAGATGATCCAGCAAATGGTCATTTCTGCTTTGTCTGCCTTAGATGTCTCAAGTAAGCCGCCAACTACTTGTTCTCCTTGGTTATTAGATTCGGGTGCATCTAATCATATGACCCATGATCCACTATTACTTAGTAACCTCAGGCTATACACAGGACCCCTCAATATACATACTGCTAATGGTAACACTCTTCCTATCTCAGCAGTGGGTGATATATCACCGTATTTACCTAATATTTTAATCTCTCCAAAATTATCCACTAATCTTATTTCTGTGGGTCAACTTGTTGATAACAATTGTACTGTGTCATTTTCTTCTTCTGGTTGTGTTGTGCAAGATCAGGTGTCCGGGAGGACAATCATGAAGGGCCCTAAGGAGGGACATCTATTTCCTATCACACCAAAGCTAGTTTCAGATGTTCCTTTTGTTTGTTATTCTGCTATTTTTGACACATTTGATTGGCATAAGAAATTGGGACATCCCAACTCTAATGTATTGCAATATTTGTTAAACTCTGGTTTGCTTGGTAATAAAACTCTTGCTTCGGTTTCATCTATACTTGTTGATTGTGCTTAATGTAAACTCGCCAAGAGTAAAGTTTTGCCTTTCCCTTCTCATGGTTCTCATACTTCGTATCTTTTTGACATTGTTCATAGTGATGTATGGAGTATTGCACCTATGGTGTCGCATGCCCATTATAAATATTTTGTTACCTTTATTGATAACTATAGTCGTTTCACATGGGTTTACTTTCTTCATGCAAAAAGTTGAGTTTTCTCAGTTTTTCAAACTTTCCTTGCCCTCATTAATAACCAATTCTCCTCCTCCACCGAGATCTTACGATCTGATTCGGGAGGCGAATATATGTCAAATGAGTTTCAAACATTCCTACAGACCAAGGGTATTATTTCTCAGCGATCTTGTCCTTCTACTCAACAAAATAGGGTGGTGAAACGCAAGAATCGACACCTTCTTGACATGGTTAGAGTCCTTCTAATTGAGTCTTCGGTTCCTTCTCGTTTTTGGTGTGAAGCTTTGTATACCGCTGTCAATCTCTTTAATCGGTTGCCATCTCCCACTCTCAATAATGTTTCTCCATTTTATAAGCTCTTCAGTCATCATCCTACATACTCTCATCTACGTACTTTTGGATGTGTTTGTTTTGTTCATTTACTATCATATGAAAGAACAAAACTCACACCTCAATCTGTTATGTGTGCATTTCTGGGATATAGTAGCACACAAAAAGGGTTTGTATGTTTTGAACCTACTACACATCGTCTTAGGATCTCTCATAATGTTGTCTTCTTTGAGAAACAATCTTTCCTTACTCAAGACACTGTTATTTCTCCTCCTGTGTTCACTGTCTTGCCCGACTTTCCTAAAGAATTCTCTCGATACAAGCCCGATCTTGTTTACTCTCGGAAGCAGGTAGCACCGATTACTGATCTCAACCTTTTCCCTCCGACGACTGTCCCTCCAAGTCTCCATGATTCTCCACCCACAACATCGGATTTTTCACCAGATGATCATTCACCTCCTAACACTCACCGTCGCTCTTCCCGTGCTCAACGACCACCAGATAGGTATGGTTTCTCCTCCCATAGCTCTACGTCAACTACCCTTAACTCAATTACTATTCCCTCATCCTATAGACAGGCTATGGAACAAGAGTGTTGGCAGCAGGCAATGAATGCAGAACTTGAGGCTCTCTTGACCAACCAAACTTGGGATATTGTGCCCTATCCAAAGTCTGTGAAACCCCTTGGTAGTAAATGGGTGTATTCCGTGAAGCTTCGATCAGATGGTTTACTTGAACGCTACAAGGCTCGGTTGGTTGCCATGGGTAACAGTCGAGAATATGGAATTGATTACAATAAGACATTTGCTCCAGTTGCTAAAATGACTACTTTTCGTCTCTTGTTATCACTTGTTGCTTCTCGATCTTGGTCTTTACACCAAACGGATGTCAAGAATGCATTTTTACATGGTAATCTCAAGGAAGATATTTATATGAAGCTTCCATGTGGCATGCCTCTTTCCTCAGCTGACTCTGTATGTAAGCTAAAACGATCATTGTATGGCCTTCAGCAAGCTCCTCGAGCATGGTTTGACAAGTTTCGCCGCACTCTCTTGGATTTCTCCTTTCTCCAAAGTTAGTATGACACCTCTCTGTTCCTTCATAAGAGTACCACTGGGATTGTTCTCTTGTTAGTATATGTGGATCATATTATTATCTCTAGATCTGACAACATCCTTATTCAAAAACTTCAGCAGCATCTTCACTCGGTTTTTCATATGAAAGACCTTGGGCAGCTTACTTATTTCCTTGGCTTGGAGGTTCCCTTTGCCCCACATGGTATCTTCTTGAACCAACACAAATATACTCAAGACTTGATTCGATTGGCAGATTTATCTGAAGCCTCCTCAGCTGATACTCCGTTAGAACTTAATGTTAAATATCGAAAAGATGAAGGTGATATACTTTCAGACCCTACTCTATATCGGAAGCTGGTGGGGAGTCTCATCTATCTCACTATCACACGTCCAAATATCTCCTTTGCAGTGCATACTGTCAACAGATTTATGAATACCCTCATCATCTTCATTTGGTAACAGTCCGTCACATTA